GCGTTGCTTTCCTGTTAACTACAATATGTCCTGTGTGTATCTAATTTTCCAAGCTTTCTTTCCTCATCATGTGCCCTGGAATCTTCAACTGTCTCTTCTTGATGTTAAGTATTATAAGTTCCCTTTTGTTTCTGTTTTCTCTAAAGCTTTGTCATTGGTCACGTGTTAGGTCTATGGTATTCTCGTCATTATGTTGTAGAATCACATTTCTCTTGCTTCATATCTCTTCACCTGTGATGAGATTTCCCAGCATTCACTGGCATACAGAAGGGCTGATGGTTGTTTTAAAATGAGTAAATTAACCTTGATAAATTATAGGGATCTTGTGACTTTTACAAAGTTATTGGTTTAGAAAAATATTCAAACTGAAATCAAACCTTTTTTATACTAATTTTACCTTAACAGACATCTAACAGCGACTTAATACAGAATGAATGGTTTTTGCTTGATTCATTTTTTACGGTTAATCAACCTATTGCAGGTTATTTAAAATCAGAAAATATTTTTTAGTTTGTAATAGATTTTTTTATAACAATGATTTACTTATACAAGTCTTCCTAATTAACCCATAGTTGAGGGAGAAAAGGCGGATTCATACCTTTCCCAAAGGTATTTGCGTGTAAGTGAATACGATGAAACCAACAGTAATTAGAACTCGACTCGTCGATTAACAATTCCGTAACATTATCTATAGAGGGTGTCACGGTGGTGTAATGGAGAAGGGTAGGGCTTGAAAAATCGGAGAGCCGAGTTCGAATTCCAGTCGGAATTACTTGATTATACACTTAGGAAAGGCATGAATCCACCTCCCCTTCCTCAGCTCGGGTATTGAACTCACTGTGCCATGGGTCCTCAAGGACAGCACAGTAGATAAAGGCTTTGGTTAGATCCACTGACAAGACCCAAAGAGTTTGAGTTCAATACCCGGTCAAGGCAGTGTAGAACTTTCAGAGGGAAATTAGCAGGAGATAACTGATAACTGACATCCATTAGACATTGCACGTGGACCTAGAACACTCTACCCCAGTGAGCGAAGTGTTCAGTTCGATATTCCAACCAACTGAAGAAGGCCAAAGTGTACAACGGCCGAAAAGTTGTGATAAACATGGCGGCAAAGATGAGGACAATAGTCCGAATAATGTAAATAGTGTACATAATACCTCATCTCAGAAATATAGACAGATACTGAAAGATATCATACTTAACCACCTATGAAGTTTTAACAATGTCACATTCCTGCAGGCTTAAATAGCAGAGTAAATTGGGCCTCTATGGCTGACGAGCAGAAAATATCAGAGAACGTAACTATGACATAATAAACGTGGGGAAAGTATTACAAAAACATTCTACTGTCTTTTCTCAAGAATTCCTTGCAATCACAGAGTACAAAAAAGAAATCTGTAAACATATATAATTGCCACGCCTTGAAGAGACGCCTCAACAGTTCTAGTCCCCAAGTTATCGGAAAAAAGTATATGATATTTAATTTTGAATTAATACAAAAAATTGTAAAGTTTTTCTTATGAACATCAAAAATGAAAGGAAGATGTTTAATATTAAGGAGGAGGAGAAAGAGAAAAGGAAATAATGTAAAATGGAAGGTAGGGAAAAGAAGAGGATGAACGAAAGTTGAGAAGAAGGAAGAAAAGAAAAGAAAGAAGGAACAAAAAGAGAAGATGGAAGGAAATCTATGGTGAAGGATGAAAGGGAAAAAGAAAAGAAGAAAAAGGAAGAAAAGAAGAAAGAAACGTATGTAGAAGGGGGAAAGGGATAAAGAAGGAAAGAAAGAAAAAGGGAAGGAACAGTATGGAGAAGGATAACAGGGAGAAAAAGAAAGAATGAAAAAAAGAAGAGAAGAAAAAAAGAATAATTTATGGAGGAGAAGAAAAGAGAAAAGAAAGGAAAGCATGAAAAAGGAAGGAAGAGGAGAGGAAGAAAAGAAAAATATGGAAAAGGAGAAAAAGAAAAAGAAGGAAAAGAATGAAAAAGAGAATGAAAAAGAGAAAAGAAATACGGAAATCTATGGAAAAGGATGAAACGGAAAAGAAAGAAAGTAATGAAAAAAAGGTAGGAAGGGAAGAAAAGGAAGGTAAGTTGCGAAGAAGATGAAAGAAAGAAACGAGCAATGAAAGTTGAAAAAAGGCACGTCACCCAAAACTAAAATAAATGTAATTCAGTAAGGACAGATGTAAGAAAAAAGAACTGAAAAAGAAAAAAAAAACAAATGCCTGAGTAAAGGAAGAAAGAAGGAAAGAAACAAACGAACGAGAAAAGAAATAATTGGAAATCACCCATAAAACTCAACGTTATATGAACGAGAAATAAAGGTTATTGTCAAAACCAATTCTTTTCAAAATCAAGGTCATTTTCTGTCATCGAATGATTAAAGTACGTATGTACCTTACTAGTACGGTGATGCCCGATTTATTATTATTATTATTATTATTATTATTATTAATAATAATAATAATAATAATAATAATAATCATCTATCCCAACAAGAAAGAGAGGCTTTTTGTTATTGATTTAGAAGATGAAGAATTGTTAATATCTTTTCACACATTCCATTTATTTGGGCCTTGAGTCGGTTAGTGATATAATATACTATTGTTTAACACGAGCAAAGAAAAAACAATATAACAGTGAGAAAAATAACTCAATAATCAATACATATAAGATATCCGATATTAGGAAAAATAAGGCACATCTGATGATGAACATGATGTATTTGTTTGAAACGTTATGCAGAACATCTATAATATACAAGTTAAATATAATTGTTGGAATAAATCCGATCTGTGAGAGCAGCTCACTGCGCCTTCTTGGCCTCACGTTTTCAACTGAAATGAAGTGCAACAACTACATTGAATTAATAGCTGCATCTACTGCAAGGAAACTTGGTTCACTGTGTCGTGCCAAAAGCAATTTCTCGTCAGAGTCCGTCTTACAGATAATCTAATCTACCTTTTGTCATTGCATTGAATACTGTTGTCATCATTATTTACATTATAAGATATCCGATATTAGAAAAAAAACATAAACAAAACACATAAAGAAAAAAAAACATAAACATATATCATTATTATTTACATTATTCGGACTATTGTCGTCATCTTTGTCGCCATATTTATTACAACGTTTCGGCCCTTCAGTATCTGTCTATATTTCTGAGATGAGGTATTATGTACACTATTTACATTATTCGGACTATTGTCGTCATCTTTGTCGCCATATTTATTACAACGTTTCGGCCTTTCAGTATCTGTCTATATTTCTGAAATGAGGTATTATGTACACTATTTACATTATTCGGACTATTGTCGTCATCTTTGTCGCCATATTTATTACAACGTTTCGGCCCTTCAGTATCTGTCTATATTTCTGAGATGAGGTATTATGTACACTATTTACGTTATTCAGACTATTGTCGTCATCTTTGTCGCCATATTTATTACAACGTTTCGGCCCAAAACTAAAATAAATGTAATTCAGTAAGGACAAATTGTTCGGCTTCCTACATAATATGGCAATGAAGATGAGGATAACAGTCCGAATACTCTAAGTAATCATAATACCTCATCTCAGAGATATAGACAGATATTGGCATACAAATTAGTTGTTAACAGGAGCAAGAAAGGGCTTGCAAATTTTAACGCGGCCAAATCGTAACTGCTGGTTTTTAGCTATCGTATAGAACTATTTTACCTTCCCTGAGGATGGCTTCAAAAAGACCCTGCTGTTCATCTCGGTGTTCTCAACAAAATCCAAAGAAGGATCTGTAATGTGATGGGATTGGTTTATTGACTTCAGACACTTTCTCACAGATGTGCTGTGGCTTCCCTCTATCTTTTCTACAAATATTTAATTGGCTACTGTTCTGACAAGCTTTTTCCCTGGTACCACGGCTACATGAATTTAAGCGTGCTACTAGATTGGTATCTAGGTCCCGCCTTTTTTACTGTTGAAACCATTAACCTCCACTTATATTCCAACAGTTTCTTTCCTCGCAATCCCCAACTGCCTTCCTATCACTTGCTTCCCTGATAACTGAAATCATCAAATTTTGAATGCAAGATCAATCGTCATCTTTTGTTGCCTTGATCGCTCTCTTTCTTTTCTTTACTCAATAGTTTCCTCCCACTTTCAATCTGCGTAACCCCCCTTCATGCTAGTGACACTGATGTCTTGATTGGGGGTGAGATGCTTTAAAAAAAGTAAAAATACGAACTGATCTTGAAAATAACCTTTAATCACTTACATTCTTTACATTATGCGAACTGTTATCCACATCTCCATTGCCATATTCATGGCGCGTGAAACTAGAACAATCTACCGAAATAAAGGGTTCGATTCGAAATTCCAATCAGCGGAAGAAGGCTAGAGCGTACAAAGGCTGAAACGTTGTGAATATGGCAATGAAGATGAGGATAACAGTCCGAATACTCTAAGTAATCATAATACCTCATCTCAGAGATATAGACAGATATTGGCATACGAATTAGTTGTTAACAGGCGCAAGAAAGGGCTTGCAAATTTTAACGCGGCCAAACCGTAACTGCTGGTTTTTAGCTATCGTATAGAACTATTTTACGTTCCATCAGCATAGCTTCAGGAAGACAGCAGGTAAAGACTGATGTGGAATTTAAATAGTTTAAGGCCTTAGGAAAGCAAGAAACATGAAGAGAATTTCATAGTCGAAAATGGTGAGTGAAGTAAATATTACTATAGAACTTAGGGCTACATCTATCTGATTCAACAGTAAAACAGTGCAAACTGGTGGTATATTTAATTTCATGATGTAACATGTACCACAGAGGAAAACACATTAGAGCAATTGCCATTAAAATATTTAGAGAGAAGACACAGGAAATTCTTCCACAACCAGTAACCCATTGTGTCTTATTGGCTTGCTTGGGGTGAACATCTGAGTTTAAAATGTACTCCTGCTCTTTCCTGGTCTAAATTACCATAGCAGTTTGGGACGAAGGTTTTTTGTGCATCGAAAAAGCTTCTCCCCGATTATAGATTATATTTCTCTCTTATGTTTTAGGCAATCTGATTTTTTTTTCAAAAGGAATTAAATTTTCAAATGAAAATTAAAACCCCCAAAAGAATCAGCAATATTATTAGTTCTAACCTAGCGTCTCGGCTCTAGTCACTTCCCTATGCCTGTAAATTTGCTTCCCTGGGCCTTTTCTATAAATGACCTTCATGGTAATCTTTCAGATGAACTTTTCGCTATGGTACCTAGAATTTATTAATTTATGCTCTATACTAAATTCACAAGTTCTCATCATTTTACAGCTGAATTAGCTAGATGCAGCTGTAGGTTATATCTTAACAATTTCTTTTCTCACACTTCTCACTTGTGGGACTCTCTTCTGGCTCTTATCAGTCAAATTTGACCTTCAAAAATTCAAGTACAATGTCAATCGTTATCCGCTGTCTTCCTCCGGATTATTCTTTTATTGTTCTCGCTCTTCAGTAATATTTCAATTTTTAATTCTTTCACACCCAGTAACAGTGTCCTGGGTATGACGATAAACTACATCCACGCTCTGGGTATGAAAATAAACTACATCTGTGTCCTGGGTAAGACGATAAACTACGTTTAACAGCAAGGCCTTTGAAAATACGTTTTTGAAAAAATAATGTTACCAGCTGTACGTTTTTGGAAAAATAATATTACTAGCTATATATTTTTGAGGAAAAATATTAACAGAAATAGATTTTTGACAAAAGAAAAATATTACCAGGAAAAAAAAAGCTGTCGGCATTAAATGACCCATTGAGGTGTTGATATGCCGTAAAACCAAACAAACCAAAACCAAACCCAGTAACACTTTGTATTTTATTGGCTCCGTTGACTTGCTTGGGGTGAACATGATTAAAACATATATATATATATATATATATATATATATATATATATATATAGGTAGTAATCCGTTGGTATAATCCAGGCGATTCCTGATGACACAACATAAATTTCAAATATGTTAAAACTGACTCACAAAAGAGTGCTCAATGTTAATTTTCATTAAACAGAGCAAAATGTTTTATACAATTGGAATTCAGATACCTTTAGTTAATGATCATTTTCACCTACGAATTTTGATTTTAAAGTTCGCAGGATTTTTCAAACTGTTTATGGTATCAGTTTGTAGGGCATTGTTTATTTGGAGAAAGAAAGAGAGGGAGGAGTTAGAGGGAATATAGCGAGAGATATGGTAGAAGAAGGCACTATTACAGGATTTATATTATGGAGGTAGGAGTGCCTGGGTAGGGGGAGGGAAATATATATTTATATATATATATATATATATATATATATATTTTATTGTAGGATATTACTTTAGAACATATGGAAAAACGCTACATAAATGCACTCATGTTTTGATACATATCGCATCTCAACAGGTGTTAATAAATGAGGATTATTACAATTTTTAATATTTGCTTACAAACCACTTCTTTTTCAAATGTAGCAGTTTTTATGTATGTTCTCATAATAAAGAATATTGCTCTACTATTGTATTGAGCTTTATTTTTAAATTAATGTTATGAACGTTTGAATTTATATTTGATTCGTTCTCATTTCATTGGTACACACACACAGAGACACACACACACAAACACACAGATATATCTATCTATCTTTCTCTCTATCTCTCTCTCTATATATATATATATATATATATATATACACGTTTCATTAAATAATATAGACAAGTGTTGTCTATTTATTTTATGTAAATTTTGTTCGTAACATCTGATAACTTCGATAACATTATCATTAAACGAAGAAAGAAATTCACAATATTGATCTATCAAACTTATCAGAACAAAATTTATATAAAATAAATAGACAACATTTGTCTATATTATTTAATGAAACGTGTATAAATGAAAATATGTTGTCTAAATACACACAATATATATATATATATATATATATATATATACACTTACATAATTCGTAGACTTCTACGGTCTATGAATCTGGGTTTCAAAAAATTAATAACTTACATCTAGATGAAAGAGTAACCCCACACTTACATTTCTAACCTTCACGGCTAAGACCCTACATGCAACGCACATTGTATCAATCCACCCGCATTTCATTCGTATTCCATTTTAAAATGTAAGTTCCACACGGGCAGCTTCTTCTCGTGAACCGCTGCTCTGTATAACCAGCTCCCTAGAGCGTGTATTCCTGATCCTTACTATCTTAATTTTCTCATACGTATGATTAACCGTTATCTTCCTCACATATCCGCTTAAAGTGTACACTTTTCCCTGTAATCCTCTTCCTCGGTCTTGTACAGCATATATCACTGTAAAAAACTGTCGGTATACGATACGAAGGAAAGTCAAAAATTATCTGCACTCTTGTTATGTTATTAGTAATGGTAAAAGTGCGGATAAATTTTGACCAGGAGATTGTTTATTTTTAACACTTATACACGTTGGCAGGAGGCACGGTGGAGTAATGGATAAGCGGCTTGGATTGAGAAATCGCAGAGCCGAGTTCGAATTCAAGTCGAATCCATTACATTCACTTACGTGCTAGTACCCTTGGGAAAGGTATGAATCCTCTTCCTCTCCCTCCAGCTATGGGTAAAATAGCAGGACAGACTGGGTTCTATAGCCTTGGATGGCAACTGGTCTAGGAGAAGGACAACTCTGAATTCAAAACCTGTGGAGGGTCGTTTGGGAACCTTGTGGCATTCGGTGCACCAGGTCTCTGTATTCGTCCCTTCAAAGATCTTATATGAGGGTGAATGGAGTCTCTCTGAGCCTTGGTTGGCAGTCCATTTAGTGTTGGTGTCACGATAAAAACACCCTTGATAGCCCTAGCGAAGCATCAAGAATTCAGCTATTTGACAAGATTATGAACTACACCAATCAAAGTATTAGTTATGACAGATAAGGAACTACACCAATCAAAGTATTAGATTTGTATTAGATAAGGAATACTGGAAAAGTGTAGTGAGTTCAATCTCGGCTGAGGCCGCAAGATGATGATGAATGTGGGACAAGGCCGAAGGGGTAGTGAGTCAACCCTGACTATCATACACCTAGCTAATGTAGATCGCGACCAATTTTTTCTAAAAGTTTCCTTAACAAAAGAACACATCTTTCTTTATTCGATCTAACACACAATGCCATATATTCGCTGGGGTCTTACTAAAAATGATTTAAAAATTGTCAAATATGTACTGTTTTATATATATTTATGTATAATGGACTCTCCTACCGAGTTCGATGTATGAGGTTCCGACGACCACGAACTAATTATCTGCATGCCTACTACGGGCATGACTTTTGAGATTGGCACGAGAATTGCACAAACAGTACAGGAGAATGTATTGTACCCAAGTGCAGCAGGAACACAGTAGGATGTCATATTTTGCTTTCGTGTTTCATGTAGTCGACTGATGCTTACTTCTTGATGGTGCATTATTCCTTAATGGCAGCTAGAAACGATGCTCTGATCTCTTCATAGCTACCTCTTTAAAGTTCTTGAATGGAACGTTGAAGGAAGAAAAGTTGCTTTTTAGTTTATCTTTAAACCTGGGCCAAGGTCTAACAACATTTCTATGACCACAATAGAGTTCACTGTAGAAAAGAACTTTTGGCATGCAATCATCACTCATCCTTGCCACATGGACAAGTCAACATAGTTGTGATTGCATTATGAAGATCCCGATGGTACCAATCTTGCATTTCTCAAAAAGGTCGGCATATGCCACTCAATCATCAAATGTTAGGCCACAGATTGTACGGAGACAACCTCTATAGAAGACATCTAATCGTTTAATGTGCTATCTATAAGGTGTCCAAGTTTCAGAGCCATACAAAAGAGTTAACAAAACGACAGCTTTGTACACTTGGATTTATTCCCTTTCGTCTCACAACTTATGACGCTGCGAACCAAAAGAAGATATATATATATATATATATATATATATATATATATATGGGGCGGAATTTAAATGACTATTGACTAAATTTCAGCTTGTTCAGGAGTTTGAGAGTCTTTCCATTATTCTTAGCATTAGAAGCTATCCTGGCTGCCGTTTGACCTGGATTTTCATTTGCTCAAAACTTTCTTTTCCTTGCTACCACCTAGGCTTTTTTTTATTACAGTATGGTCCTCTGTTGACTGAGATTTTTTTAGCGAGGCATACTGCTGCCGTATGCAATAGGCAACAATAAACTACAGAACTCAAAATTGATCGCTGCATTTAAGTATTGAATTAATATTTAATCTTGCCATTTATAAGTTCAACGATAATTCTTCTGCCGCCACTTAATTTAAAGACACTTTGATGTGCGTAGGTCCTTACTTTCAGTACATTTTTTTTTTATTTCATGGGTGGCTTTCGCAATTAATTTCGTTTGTTTCCAAATTTATTTCCAAGTTATGAAAATTGTTATCGTACAAAAATATGGCGGAAAAACAATCTGTGTAATTAAAAATTGGGAATCCACCATTTCTGTAACATGAGCTATTGGGAGTTAGAGAGGTGTATCTCGTTAATTGAAAAACCGTGACGCTATGACACACTGACATTCGCATTTATTATATAGATACAGGTAGCAGTACCTATTTATACAAGTTTTGTTAAAACTGCTTCTAAAAGCAGTAAATGTTTAACCGATCGAGCCTTGTGCAGCACTTTAATCTCTCCTTCAAATATTCAGAACCGAACCCCGGGTTGTTTATCAAATGAAGCCCAAACGCAAAGCGATGCTCTGAGTCAAGCAATTAAAGGTAACTAGTTCCACCCAGTTTTATATTAGCGGGCACATGTTGTCCAATCCGGTTCTCAAACCGCAAGTTGGTTCGCCTCTCATAGCCAGTTTCTCGTCTCAACGACATTTAAATTGACACACATCAGGACTATTCTGCAGGTAGAGCAATATATATATATATATATATATATATATATATATATATATATATATATATATATATATATATATATATTTA